AGCTGAAGCAGGGACCAGGGTCGGGCCAGGGGCAGGGTCTGGCAGGGGCCTTATGTCCACAGAGAGATGGTGGTGCTCAAACAGCAAGTCGAGGTGGAAGGTGAGCACGGAGAGGGGCTGGATGAGGAGCAGCAGCTCATCGGCCAAGTGTGGGAGGGGCCCCTGGCTCAGGGCGAGGAAGGCCGAGGGCAAGTAGAGGACGGAGATGACACCTGAGAGAGACAAGGGCCGCACCAGTGAGCAGGCACCACGCAGGGGACGCCCCAGCGCTCCCAGCTGCCCCCCACAGGAGTGACTCCCAGCACAGGTCCCAGACCAGGGCTTCCCTGTGCACGGCCCTGCGCATGCACTGTGCCTTACCTGGGCTCTTCTGCAACTGGGAGATCCACAGCTCCAACTGCTTCAGGCTGAACAAGGCAGAAAGCGTCTAAGTTAGCACCGCGCCACACAAGACCCAAAGCGTTCCCTGCAGGCAGCGCAGAGCAACCAGTCCAGGGCGTCCCAGGGCGTCCCAGGGCATGGGCTCCACATGACCATGAGGGACACCCCAGCCCTGGAGGGGCAGGTGCAGCCTGTCTGAGGGTAGCAGAGACCAGCGCCAAAGGACACACACGGGTCCCACACTGGGATCCCAGCAGGGAGCCACTGCCTGCCCCTGCCTCAGGCCTCTTTCCGGTGCGGAGGCAGAGGGAAGCACAGGGCTGAGCCTGGTTTGACCCCACTCCCCATCACAGGGCCAAAGCAATGCCTCCCCAGGGCCACCTGCCCCCAGGCTCATCTTGCTTGGACCCTTGCTGCTCCCACTTCTACCCTGAACAGCTGCCCTCAGCCAGGAGCAGCCCCACGAGAGTTCACACCCGCAGGGTGCCAACACGAGCAAGCCTAGGCAGCACGTGCCCTCAGGAGCCCTTGGGATTGGCGGCTGCCGAGGCCTTGCTCTGCACTGCACCGTCCCCTCCTGCAGCGCCCAGGCAGAGCGCCCGGGGCAGCCCTGGACACCACTTACTTCAGGAGGCCAAGGACAAAGGCGTGGAACCGCTGCCTGCTGCTGCTGAGAGGAGCCAGCCGCGAGATGCGCCAGTACAGGGCCTGCAGCGACCGGGTGCCGGGGCCTGTGGGCACAGGGTATGTGGCAATCACCGCCACTCACCCCCGCTTAGCACCCCGCCTGGCGTGCGCGTGGGCACAGCCCGCCACGGCCGTGCTGCAGCAGGCGCCGGCGGACGAGGTGCTGCGGGAACAGGTGCGAGCCCCGCAGGGACGAGGCCCGTGCCCCTTCTCCCGCCCTGTTTCTCTGCTGCATCTGGGGCACCCACCCCCTCGGGCTCTGCTGCCTGCCCTGCGCTCCTCCCGCTCCCCGCAGCATGGCATCCCCTCCTCCCTGCAGCAAGCGCCGCACAGACTACCTGGCTTCACCGAGGCCTCTACCACGCTCCAAGGGGAACTCCTCCTCTGGCCTGTGATGATGTCCTTCTGGAAGGGCTTCAGCCCGTCCCCCACCAGCGCGTACAGCGCCGGGCACAAGGTGCGCAGCAGCAGGTAGCCCACGTCCGGGCTGAGCTGGCTGTCCCCCAGCTGGGCCTGGGGAAGAGGAGAGGGGGCTGGATGCTGGTAGCCAGGGAGGGGGGCAGGAGCCGGCTGTCTCCAGCCCCCCAGGGCCTGCAGCAGGGGAGGATCCTGTGGTCCCTGTGGGCAGAGCAGCAGCCAGGCCGCCCGCCCCCGGGGACCCCGGCCCGGCCCGGCCCGGCCCGGCCCTCACCTTCTGCACCAGGTTCCTGGCGGCGCTGAAGTGGGCGATGATCTTGTCCACGGAGGCGCTGACAGCGACCAGCAGGGCTGGAGGGGCAGAGAGCGGCGCTCAGCCCGGCCCGGCCCGGCCCCGGCCCCGGCCCCGGGGC